ATTTTGGAAAGGTCTCAGAGACTTGGAGGGATGTGCTGGAATTCCCAAAGCTGGAACAATTCAGCCACAGGATAACAATTTGCACTTGTTGCGGTCATGCTTATCCACTGCCTTAACATTACTGAACAATGGACCAAAGGTGCTGATCAGCTCATTCTACAGCCCCAAAGCCAAGCCTGCTTGGATTGAGAAACCAAAGGCCTAGAAATGGAGTTTCTTCAGCTGATTCTCCCCTTTCTGTCCAACTGTCCAGAAAATGAAACCCAGTATTCAGAATGGTTGGTCACCTTATATATAATATAGTACAGCATGATCCCATTTTGCAAACACATACACAAAAATACTCATTTCCCTCAAAAATACCTTATATAATGTTGTTCTCTGTGTTCAGGAGGAGAGATTTGTAAGCAGAATGCCAGGGATAGAACCTGATTTCTATAGAAATGTGTTGAATGTCCATTTTTCCCTCAAAAGACATATCTACTTAGAACTGATTTTTGAAAAGGAGTTTTTGAAGAGAGAATCAAGTTTATGATTCTTGAGATAAGATCATTCTGGATTAAATCTAAAAAATCTATAAAAAGTAGTGAAGAAGACACAGGGAGAGGAGGTTAAGATGGAGGCAGAGATTATAGTGATGATCCTACAAGCCAAGAGACACCGAGAATTCCACTCTGCCACCAGAAGTTAGAGGAAGGAACAGAACCTCCAAGAGAGCCAACCCTGCTGGCACCTTGGTTCTAAACTAGAATTAACTGGGCTCTAAAATCCATTTCTGTTGATTTAGTTTATCCATTTTAAGGTAATTTGTTAGGGCAACCCCAAGAAATTAAGCTTGGGAGAAGTGATATTCATTTTTATATCTCAACCTACTCAGTTGCAAAGCAGGGATTTTAATAATCCTAATTATATTGGATTGCTGTGAGGACTAATGCATACAGAATGCTTAGAACTGGGCATGGTGAGCCTGCATTATTTGGTAGAATATAATGACTATGATTGCATTTGTAAGGGTTAAAAAGCATCTGAGTGATTCTCTGGATGCTAGCATAAAAATAATCCTTTTTTAAATCACGCTTCTCTGTGCATTACAAATTATGTACAAGAGGCATGTATTGGTTTTCTAATTAGAAGGCATTTGTTAAATCGAAATGATCATATCATTTCCAGTGTAAAGCTGCATATCGGTAAGCTAATAGCTGTGCTAGGCTTTTGAATGATGGAACAGTTAAACAACATGCACTCTGGCATGAATCTCATGGCTGTAAAAGAAATAGAAATCTGATGATTAACATCTGAGAACCACAGTGCATGAATTGCTACAGGTAACCCATTTATTTGAAGAGTTAGAAGCTCTGAAAAATTGTCAGTATTGTCTGCAGCAAAGAAGTTTGATTTCTTTTTTCATTTACAGATTTCTGCAACCAGCGTGGAAATTTCAGATTTCATTGGAAATCATTTTCTGTTGTCAGAGTTTATAAACTATCTACTGCTCAGATATCTAGGTATTTTCATTACAAGCATTACACAGCACTTAACTAAACAGACCCAATTTTCTTTGGTAAAGCAGTCTTTTGAAAGGACATTGTAATCTTCACCCAACCAGCATTCCTGTTAAGCACTGTTAAGAATGACCAAGGAATATAGTCTACAGCAAGTGTGACAGGAGGGACATGGCAAAAGGGCTGCTGATCAGGAGCCAAAGGAGGCACAAAGGAGGTGGTGCTCCCCACCTGTCAGACATGAGAGAATTCAGTGCTTCATCCTCTACATAATTGCCTCCCTGGTTCCATAATTGGCAGGTGGATGACAAGTTCTTTTTAATGATGACCATGAAGTTGCAAAATATCCCATCTGCCAATTACTGTTATCATCAGCTCCTACTGTCACATGAAGATAGGTTGAATTTTAGCTGAGCAAAGGCTGAAGGGCTGCCAAGTTAATGTCTTATTCCAGATCCCCTTCAGGGTGACCCGAGGAAGCTCTCATAGGAGAAGGGCTATTAATCTAGAAGTGTTTAAACTCCAGGTGAGGACTTGGTAGTGATTCGAATCTTCCAGCATAGTCACAAGGGTTTGGTGGGAGCCAGAGATGTTTTGTGGGTTAGTCTCCTGGTGCTTTTAGCTCTCTGTAATGCTCCTGAGCTCCTGGCACTGTCTGCCTGCTCCTCTGTCTGATTGCCACAGCCATTCTCCAACTGGCTTCCTCTCTGCCTCAGGTCAATCAGTTTCATGCTTTCTCTGTCCTTACCTATGCTTAAAGAAATATATTATTTTTATTTTTTTTGTGTGCCAGAACTGGGGTTAGAACTCAGGGCCTATGATCTGTCCCTTAGCTTTTTGCTCAAAGTTGCTGTTCTACTACCTGAGCCACAGCTCCACTTTTGGTGTTTAGATGGTTATTTGGAGATAAGAGTATCACAGACTTTCCTACCCAGAATAGCTTCAAACGTGATTCTCAGATCTCAGCTGATGGACTTTCCTAGCCAGCATAGCTTTGAACCATGACCCTCAGATCTCAGTTCCCTAGATAGTTACAGATTGCAGGTGTGAGTCTCTGGTGCTCTGTAGTTTAACCAAATTTTTATCTAGTGCTTTTGCTCTGAATATCTGTAAGCAGAAATGACAAGAGGAAGAAAGGAGGGAAGGGAAGGGAAAGGAAGGAAAGGGAAGGGAAGGGAAGGGAAGGGAAGGGAAGGGAAGGGAAGGGAAGGGAAGGGAAGGGAAGGGAAGGGAAGAGAAGGGAAGGGAAGGGGAAGGGAAGGGAAGAAGGGAAGGGGAAGGGGAAGGGAAGGGAAGGGAAGGGAAGGGAAGGGAAGGGAAGGGAAGGGGAAGGGAAGGGAAGGGAAGGGAAGGGAAGGGAAGGGAAGGGAAGGGAAGGGAGAACCAGAGAAAAAATAGGTTGAAAAGAAGGGAGGAAATAGGGAAAGAGACTGAATACACAAAAGTGCAAGCAAACAGACAAATCCTAACACCCTCACTAATCCTGAGAAATGAAACTTGGTGTTTTCCATTCACCGCCTTATGATCTTATTTGCACTCCAAGTATTTGGTTTATTTGTCTCTGTCTCTGCCAGCATCCCTCCTCCCCTCCTTTCTCAGAGAGACCTGAAGACCCAAGAATTCCCAGAGGCCTGACAAAATATTTCAGGTTTCTTTTCACTTCTGTCATCATGCAGCTGTCTGTTACGCTTCCTCTAGAAGTTCCCGCTGAGTTCCTGACTCTCACAGCTCTCTCTTTACACTTGACTTCTCCTCTGAGTGACAGACCCCCTTTTCCAGCCAACACCTTGAAATATCCCCTACTGTGTTCCAATAGTAACTTAAACAAAATGTATATATACAGACTATACTCATTTCCCTTTCCCTGAACTTGCCTTAGGCCTTGCAAGGCCCCAATACTTGCCAAGGTATCACCACCTTCCTTCAGCAAGTCTGCAAATGCAGCACCATCTCTGAGTGATTGCCCATTCTCCTGTACCACACCCTCAGGATTCACTTCAGTCAACCCACACCACGTCTCCTGTATCTGCTCTTTACTCTCCATTTCTCCAGCACTCCAATTCCAGCCCTCCATGCCTCCTGAATGTGGTGCTTTTATTCCCACTTTCCCTATTGGAGTCACACTGGGCTTCCACAATAAATTCCTAACAGAGGTCTGATCCCATTAGTTTGGTATTCACAAGCTTCTATGAAAAGTTAGTTTCTAGGATAATCTTCACTTTTCAGCCTTACCCTCATGTGCCTCAAATGTGGTCCATGTTTTGGCTTTCTCTTTCACAGGTGCTGTTCTGGAAGCACCTTCTCTCTCAGCTTTCAACGTCTAAATCCATCTTGTTTCAAAACAAAAACAAAACCATTGCTGCCAGATGACGGTAGGTCATGCCTGTAATCCTACCTACTGAGAAGACTGAGACTTGAAGACTGGTTCGAAGGCAGCTTGGGCAGGCAAGCCCATGAGACTCTGAGCCCAGGATATGGGTTTGGCCAACAACCAAATGAACAACTCTTAAATTGTCACCCTGCTGTCTAATTTTTACTAGAGATGAGATATGTCTAAGAAGATAACAGATACAGTTTCTGATCTGTAGACATTAATAGCTTTTTTTTGTAGAGACCAAGCTAATATATATTAATTACTAGTAGACAGTTAGAAGGATCACTGAGATCTACACAGATTCTTCTAAGAAGTCAGAAGAAAAGCTCTATTTTTATGAAATGAAACTAAGCCTTAGTAATTGTTATATATTAGATAGACTAACACTCCAGGGTAGAAGTCTGAGGCTCACAGGGACAGTAGGTAGAGTAAGTGTGCTTTGTTCACAAGATCTTGAATAAGCCTGCTACCATTAAGAAAGAAAAAGGTACTAGGAGAGGGTGATGTGACATTTCACCATATCCCCATTGATTCTGGGATACAGATTAAATGCCTTGTAGGTGATAGTCAACTTAATCCCTACAACAATCTTGTAAAGGAGGTATTACCACTGCCAATTTATGAGCAATGGGGCTGAGATTGAAGGGGATTAAGCATCTGGCCAAACTCATGCAGGAAGAGATGGAAAAGCTGGAATTTGAAAATGGCAGCTGGCTTCTATGGCCACCGTGCTGTCTCCTGTACAGCAAAACAAAAATATCTTAAGAGTGTTTTCTTCAGGAAGGCAAACTTCTTACACTTATGAATAACTCAAGTTGGGTAGTCATAAGCATCATGCCTCCAGGACATTCAGGACTCAATACACGTGGGCTAATGCAAGGCTGTACACATAAAGAGGGAAGCAAGAAGGCTCAGTAACCAGATGGAGAAATGACAACAGTAAGCAGTCCTGGCACTGGGCAATATCTTCAGACTGAAAGGAAGCAGAAGAGGCACAGACACTAGAGAGTCTGGATTTTCATCACCCAGCTCCAGAAAAAGCTACGATCCAACTGAACACAGCTTTGTTGTCATGAGCATCCATCCTGAGAAGACCCAGCAGAAGCCATGACAAAGTAACTCACTTGGTTTCATTGGCACAGCGGATCTTGCAGCCTTCCTTGGGAATCACCAAGCCCAGATGCATTCGGAGCCTGCAGTTTGTGGGTCCTGTGTGTGGCCACACATGGGTTCCAGGGTGCATGATGGAATATTTGATCTGTGTAGACAATATGACATGTTACTCATCGCTGAACAAAGTGTGGAGGAATTGCTACATGAAAGTGACAGTACAAAATTACTGTCAGTTTGGATGAGTGGCTTTGCAAAGCTCTGAATTTATATTCACATAGTTATTTCTTGGCAAAGGAACAAAAACTATGCACTCACATTTTCCACAAAGTGGTAAACAATCAACTTTTCCAACCCTCACTTTTGACATTAACTGCATGAAATTATTTCATTAAAAAACAAATGACAAAAGAGGCGCTCATTGCAATAAAGAAAACAACTGTTTTCTTTGTAAAGGTTAGTTCTCTCTTATTCCTGACTACTTGTGTTCTCTCCAGTAATGAAAACATTCTGAATACCTGTCCTCTCCGGCATCCTGTGGTCTCTGGGAACTTTTCTAATAAAGAGCAGGTTTTAGGAGCTCCTTTACAGGCATTTTCATTTTTTCTTCCTAGGACAATAAGTGATGTAAAAATCATGAGTCAAATGTTGTCTTTAAACAAATCATTATCTCTAATATATATTTTCTTTATAGTTTAATGCTTTTGTATCCTTATAATTATTTGCATATTGTTGCTTTATTAAAGCACTTTTTGTTAGCCGAGACTGATTCTTTTTTTTTTCTTTTATTGTGAAAATACTGTACAGAGGGCTTACAATTACATGGCAAGATAATGAGTACATTTCTTATCAAGCATTGTAGCCTCCTCCTTTGTTTCCCCTTCCCATCCCATCCTCCCCCACCCCCCTACTTAACCCTCCTCCCCCTACCACCATAGTTGTAAAGTTCGTTTTTGACATAACAACTTGTACATCTCATTGTTGCAATGGGTCCACCTGTATCCCTATTTAAACGATTTGTTTTTTCCCTTCCCCACCACAAATTATAACAACATCAAATACAGTGAAAACAGGGGTTATACCGTGGGGGAGGGACATGCATAGCAACAAAGAAATAATCTTATAAATGTGTTAGAAACAATCACATAAAAGAAAAAAAACATTTGAATACATATCCTAGGCTTCATTTCCCTAACAGCAACTTATCTGAGCTTTTCTGCTTGACTCAGACATATACTAGTTATTGCAAATAAGGGAAACCATGTTTCTTTGGGCCTGGCTTACTTCACTTAATATAATTTTTTCCAAGTCTTTGACTGATTTCTATTGTATGCTATTCCTTTTTGTTTGTATCAGTCCTGGGGCTTGAACTCAGGATCTGGGTGCTATCCCAGAGATTTTTGGTCAAGGATAATGCTTTACCACTTGAGCTCCACTTCTGGCTTTTTATTTTTAATGCCTAATTGGACATAAGAGTCTCCTAGATTTCCTTGCCTGAGCTGGCTGTGAATCTAAATAATCAGATGTAAGCCTCCTGAGTAGACAGGATTATAGGCATGAGCCCACAGTGTCTACATTATGGATGCTACTCTGAAGCATTGCCCTGGAAGCCTGGCTGCTTCATGAATCATAAAGGATATTAATGAACTCAAGTATCAGAGAAACGCTTAAGAGCCAATAGACTCAATTAATCTCAGTGTATGCCAAACAGAAATGTTCATGTTGCCCATATACGGACTGTATGACTCCTTTATGAAAAAAAAATGTGTTGGAAATTCTGAGGGTTAGTTGATCTTTCTTCTGATGGGTTTATTCACAAACACATACTACCGAAGTAGTTCCTCTTATTCCATAGAAGCCATGTCAAAAAAAAAAAAAAATACCTGAAACAAAGCACTGTCCTTGGCTACACTGACTTTTTTTGTGTTATGAAAGATATGTAGCTCACATGGTTTGGGTATCAAAATGGGTGTACTTTTATGCAGTTACTCTAGTTGATTTTTTAAGCGAATTCAAAAAGAGCCTCCAGAAAAATTAATGCACATTGACTATAGCCTTCTGCACTCCATCTATGTATCTAGGTTGGGTCAAACTTAAGCAGTGCCTTGTACATGACACTTCCTTCTTCCTGAAGGACTCAGAAGGTACCTTTGTCCCATCACTCTTGGGTTACTATTTCCAACATTTCTCACCTGTGGTGACATTGCTTTGGCTCACAGCATGTCCTACATTTTTACAGAGGCAAATAAAGCTCAGGGATGTTCATTTGCTAAGACACAGACAGACACATGGTGGGCTTTGAGTTATACCCATATGGTAGCATGACTTTAGTAATGTCATTTAGCAGGAAAAGGAAAAATACTAGTTCCCTCTTCGTTCTCTTTCTCTCACTAGAGATATCCAAATATACTGCACAACCACACACACACACACACAGACACGTGCACGTGTGTGTGCATGTCTAGGTTTCTCAAGCAGTTTTCTTTAAGTCTAGGAACCCCAGTTTTGAGAATATCACCAGGAGAATCTTGTCACTTTGTTTTCTAGATGAAGGATAACCAGAGTCCACACTCACCTTGCTGCCACAGCGTGAACTGGCTCCAGTCACCCTTCTCCCTCAGATTTTCATCTTCAGGCAGGAAAAGACCCTTGGTTGTGTCCATCACTGCAAGGCCTTCATCACGGATTAACTTCCAGTTTCTTTCTAAAGACTAGAAGGCAGGTTTTGGGTTCACTGAGATGAAAATATGCCCATTACAACACAGTACATCATACAATGACTGTCAGCTTTTGTTTTTATTTTAAAAGTAGTAAGTTTTTAGTTGGGCACCAGTAGCTTACACCTGTAATCTAGCTACTCAGGTGGCTGAGCTCTCAGGATTGAGGTTCAAAGCCAGCCTGAGCAGGAAAGTTCATGAGACTTTTATCTCCAGTTAATCACAACAAAGCCAGAAGTGGAGCTGTGGCTCATGTGGTAGATCACTAGTCTTAAGTAAAAAAGTGAAGCAATAGCATCTAGACTCTGAGTTCAAGCCTCAGAATCAACACACACACACACACAGTAATACATTTCTATTCTCATCTAGATTATTTATGTCAATTTTATTTAGAACCTCTTGCCAAAGAAGTTTTATATATATATATATATATATATATATATAATATATATATATATAATGCTAATATAAAAAAATACAAATAATGATTGATATATATATATATATCAATCATTATTTTTCTGAACCAAATGTTCTTCTTTTGGTCGGTTGTGGGGCTTGAACTTAGGGCCTGAGTCTTGTCCCTGAGTTTTTTCACTCAACCCTAGTGCTCTACCACTTTGAATCACAGCATCACTTCTGGTTTTCTGGTGTTCATTGGAGATAAGTCTCATGGACTTTCCTGCCCCGGCTGGCTTTGAACCGCAATCCTCAGATCTCAGCCTCCTGAGTAGCTAGTATTACAGGTGTGAGCCACTAGCACTCAGCTCTGGACCAAATGTTTTTGCAGAATAGTTTGTCATTTCTAGAAATTTCAGAAAATAAATTCTTCATCGTTATCTGTTTAAAGGCTTGCCCTTCATTCCTTCCTTCTTTTTTCTCCCTTCCTTCCTTTTTCTCTCTCTTTCTTCACAACCTAACAAGAACATTGATCTTGCTTATCAACATATTACCATAAGTTTCATGTGACATTCCATCATCCAAGCTGGAATACAAATCACATAGTAATAGGCACATACTAGGTTTTGAGTTACATGCATTGATTTAGTTACTTTTCATAGAGTTCCTTACAAAGATGCCATTGAACATAGCAAATAATAACTTATAGCCGGTGCCAGTGGCTCATGCCTGTAATCCTAGCTACTCAGGAAGCTGAGATCTGAGGATGGAGGTTCAAAGCCAACCCAGGCAGGAAAGTCTGTGAGACTCTTATCTCCAGCCACCAGAAAACTGGAAGTGGTGTCATGGCTCAAGTGGTGGAGCCTTGCCTTGAGCTGAAGAGCTCAGCGATAGTGCCCAGGCCCAGAGTTAAAGCCTACAACTGATGATGATGATGATGATGATGATGATGATGATAACTTACAAAGACATTGGGAACACATCAATTGGAACACTTGATACATTACAAAATAGCAAAACAGAACAAATAAATGTCCTAGTGTTTGGCCCAAATGAGTGTGGCCTTCATTTCCTCTGCTTTTTAGGAGGCTAATTTAGCCCCCTTAAAGGCTTCTGACTGAGGTGGAGCCAAGGGTGGCCTGGTGGGTGCAGGCGGGGCTCTTGGGAGATCTCCTGGTATCTCCACCACCTCACTATGCTCTGGGTCAGGGTGGGGAGTGGGAGCAGTGGGGGCAAGCAGGCAGGAGGAACACCCAGAGCAGCCAGCTGAGAGGAACTGCCAGCAGAAGAAAAGAATAACAACAGCTCTCCTACAATAAGGAGGATCGAAAAAAAGCTGTACAGATAAAGCAGTACAAAGAAATTGATTTTGTAATTGGATTCCTGTGAAATCTACCCATTATTTTGTGTCCGCCTTACAATTGCTCCTACTAAGGCCACTGTTGGGGTGGTGCCGGTCATTTGTTCTTGCTAGAACTGAGGGCTTCAACTAGTATCCATAGATGTTTATCCAAAACAGGCAGTGTCAACTAGCAAGTCAAAGACCACATTTCAATAAAGGGATAGTTAAGAAGTCTTTACTTCAGCTCAAGTATCAGCTCAATATTGTCAGGAATCCTAAGATATTAGAGAGGAAAAGGCTGTGTTCACATCTTCTCAGCTCCATCTACATTGCCAGCATCCACTGTTGCCACTGTAACTTGTTTAAATTGCCGGATAAATCTGTTACATTCTTGTTAAACTGTCACATAGACAAGGAGAGAATTGCCTCACTAATACATGAAACTACTTTTCAAATGAGGTTACTGGAGCCTTAGAAGGACAAGCTCTTCTCTTTTCTCTCTCCTGGTTTTCTAGAAATTCCTTTCATTTCTTTTTCAAGCTGATTTTAAGGACTGGATGGGAAACAGCTGATCTTTTGTTACTAAAATAGAGCACAAAGCCCGAGGGGAAAATGTTAAAGTGATTTCTCCAGTGTGTGTGCCTGTGTGTGTGTGTGTGTGTGTGTGTGTGTCTTTTTTACTTAAGAACAAACTGTCCTTAAATATGAAATGTCAGTACTGACCCCTTCTCTCAGGAAGTGTCGCCAGAGTATTGGTCTATAGGTAATTGTGATTTTGTAGAACCTATCAACAAACGAATCATTTTTGTTTTCCCCTGTTTCATGTGGCACAGATAATCTGGATGACAAACTCATGCTAGTAGGAGCAGAGTAACACTGAGGTCTCTCTAGGACCTGACTGCACATACCTTTGCTAAACCACCACCAATGTGCTTGGTCCAACTGGTGGTGGCTACTCTTGTCCCCTTGACTGGAGTGACAGATACCTAGAAAATGGGTAAAGACACTTCTAGAAGTGTCTGTCAGTGTTCCCAGAGACCGCTGGCTGAGAGGGGGCTAGGGAACTGAGTGAGGAAGACTGCCCTGAATGTGGGCTGTGCCATCTAAAGGGCTTCAGGCTGGATGGAACAGAAGGAGAAGGAGAAAGCTTACACACACTTTAATATTCTCGACTCTCTTTTGCTGCTGCTATCTATCACCCAGAGACATTGGACTTCAGCTGTTCAATTCACTCGCAGCAGTAATTCTCCAGAGAGCTTCCAGCCCTGCAGACTTGAACTGGGCTTGCATCACTGTTCCCCTCCTTCTAAGGCCTCCAGTCCCACGGACAGAGCAGCTCCTGGTTTTTCAGGGTCTCTAGCCTGCTGATGGTCATGGGGACACTTGGGATGTGTAAGCCAACCTAATAAATCCTCTCTTGCAATTATAGATACATTCTATTCTCCAGAGAACCTGACTCATATGCTAACCAAGAACTACATAGATGTTTAGTTATTTCCATCATAAAACAGGCACATTATTATTTCTATGGAATTCAATACTTTTACATCTAGGAGCCATGCTGTTGATCTAGTAGAACTTTCCCTCTTTAGGGATGAAGATATGACTTTAAGGAGTCGCTTAAAACCCCCACTGTCAAAGCCAGCAGAGCTAACACCAGAAACCCATCCTACTAAGCATGTGTGAGTTCCAGTATTTTCCAAGGGCTTGGAAAATTTTGTGCTCCCTGCTTGGCATTGGTGCACAAGGCTCAACTCAGGATAGTGCACGCACTTGCCTAGTAAAGGAAGTGAGTATTTCTAAAAACAGTAGCAGATAAGCCAGGTAACGGGAAAAAATACAAGGATAACAGCAGCCATGGTCTCTAGGTGTTCAATGTAGATGTTTTACAATCAAGACAGAGACTAGGGGAGTTTGCCAACTTTGGAATGACACAGGGTTTTTAAGGAGACATTTCAGACAAGACCTGGAATGCTGTTTCTAACCACACACCCAGGACCACATTCTATAACATTCACAGGTTTTTGAACATTAAAGACCAAACCTAATCACACACAGTGTGCATATGTACGTAGATATTGTAACAAAATACTATAGATAAATGGCTTATAAATGACAATTATTTATTTGTATTTGTATTTGGTGCTGGTAAAAGTCTGTTTCCTTGAACTTTACAACTTGGGGGGGGGGGGATGGTGGCGGGGGGGAGGGGGGATGGGAAGAGATGAGAAGGGATGGGAAGGGTAAACAAAGGAGGAGGCAACAATGCTTGACAAGAAATGTACTCATTATCTTGCCCATGTAATTGTAACCCCTCTGCACAGTATTTTCACAATAAAAAAAAGTCTGTTTCCTGGTTCTTATGTGATAGCTTCTCTCTTTAACCTCTTTAACAGTAGAAGAAGGCAGGCAATAGGATTGGTGACCTCTAACCCCACTCTCTGAGATCTGTAATCCCTTAGAAACTAATCACCTCCCAAAGGTACCCTCTCAATATCATCACCCTGGGAGTTAGGAGCTCCATTTTAGATTTTGGCTGGGACACTGATGGTCACAGCACTGTGTATGGAAGGAGTAGAGAGAGTAGGAGGGGGGAGACAGATTTTCCCATTCAGTTATCTGAGATAGCAAGAAATGAATTTTTTAGGATATGCTAAGAGAAACGTGTGCACTCACACTGAGCTAAAATGCCAACATTTTCAAAGGCCTCCTTTAAAATATTATTTCTGTGGCCCTAAATTAATTCATTCAGTAACACTGAGAAGAGAAAGTAGCGGCATTAGTATTTGCTGGGAAGGAAGGGCTTCCAGTGTACATTTTGCTATGGGGCAGAGACTAGAAACAGGTTTGGTCTGTTAGAGCTAAGGGTCTCAAAAGCACACCGTCAGCACTTGCCCTTTTAGCTAAACCTCAGCCATGTCCATCACTCTATCTTCTACAAATAGATTTCCCAGTGTCATTCCCAACAAACCCCCTGGCATCATCCCAATCTTCCTTTTACCTAAGAGACATTTCCTTATCTACCAGCCAACTTGCTCCTCCTACTTTTCTCATAGGCAAATTAGCTTATGTTCTATAAAGTCCTCCTTTAAAGCTGACTTTCTGCAGGAAGTCTTTGAGGCTGGTGGTATAACTCAGAGATACAGCCTGTTTTTAGCATGTACAAAGCACTGGGTTTATACCTAGGTCCCCTCTCCTCCTTCCCCCCCACCATACTAACTTTCTATTGGGAAGCAAAATAAAGCCAAAGTGA